AGCTGCGTGTATTGATAATGTATTTCGTTTAAAATCGTCCTACAACAATTTCTGGTAGACTTGTTTTGAAAACAAGCTCACTTTATGAAAACGCTTATGGAAATGCTTTACCTGAAAAATGTTTGTCTCTGGTGATTGGAAAATACCATCAAAACAATCAGGCTACAGATTTTTGTTCGACTTTGGTTTGGTTCTTTTCACGAGTTTTTCCCCGAGACTTCTCATTCAAAGAATAGATATGGTAATGCTTTATCGGAACGTGATTTGCTATTGTTTACGCATCTAGAACCATGACAGAGGGATTTGGTGAGCATTGAAACAAACCCAAATTTGAGTTCAAACGTTTCATTTAGAAGCTAATTGTAAAAACCATGCTCTACCAAGCATTAATTAACCAATTAATCTAACAAAAAGTGTTTCTTGTTCAGTTTCCATCTTTTTAAGTCAATTTTAGTTCACTTTAAAGCAAATTCGACACGTGTTTTTCGTAAAAATCTTTAAAGATCTCTACGAAGAAATTGGCTGAACGAATTTTTCTAAAAATTTAGATATATACAAAACTTTTTGTGCTCTATCTTTTCTCTATTCGCACTAAGATAGGTTTCCTTAGCCAAATTGTCATTTTTGGTCACTTCAAAATCTCGCTCTTAAAAAATCCAGACATAAGACATTTTAAACCGGTTTTAATGTTATTTTGCAACAAAATGTTTGGCTTTTTTTAATGAAACAAACCATAATTCAATTGGTGCAGTTGTTGGTCTTAAACAGAAGTAAAAAAAGGAACGAAAAGCTTTCTAGACAGTTTAGCTGCCTATGCATAAGCTGTTTTCCAATGTTTCAGAAACCAGTGTTTAGAGATGGTTAGATCTTGGTTTTTCTAAAAGTTCTTTTCCAGAGAAAGGCTAGAAGCCAGGTCTGGTCTGATCTCTCTTTACAGCAGGCCAGGCAGGCCTGACCACTATCTCTCGATCCTACCTGAAACTAGGCCTTGTCTCGCCTGGCTTACAGGGCCTGGAAACTGGTTGAATCATCCTGTTTAATATTTTAGAGATTTACCCAAAGTCCTTAAGAGATTCGGATACTAGATCTCTTAAAATCATCAATAATTTTCATCAAGCGTCAAGCCTCAAGCGTCAAGCCTCAAGCGTCAAGCCTCAAGCGTCAAGCCTCAAGCGTCAAGCCTCAAGCGTCAAGCCTCAAGCGTCAAGCCTCAAGCGTCAAGCCTCAAGCGTCAAGCCTCAAGCGTCAAGCCTCAAGCGTCAAGCCTCAAGCGTCAAGCCTCAAGCGTCAAGCCTCAAGCGTCAAGCCTCAAGCGTCAAGCCTCAAGCGTCAAGCCTCAAGCGTCAAGCCTCAAGCGTCAAGCCTCAAGCGTCAAGCCTCAAGCGTCAAGCCTCAAGCGTCAAGCCTCAAGCGTCAAGCCTCAAGCGTCAAGCCTCAAGCCTCAAGCGTCAAGCCTCAAGCGTCAAGCCTCAAGCGTCAAGCCTCAAGCGTCAAGCCTCAAGCGTCAAGCCTCAAGCGTCAAGCCTCAAGCGTCAAGTGTATCTCAAGAAGTTTATAGGTTTCCTTGAAATTTGAAAACCAAGTCAAAAGAGACGATCCGCTGAACATTCAAAAAACGTTCAAGTCTCAAGCTTAAATATGGTACACTTGCATCTCAGCCTAGTTTTTCGCAAATTTGTGATCAACCTGTTGAAAGAGCATTCACCATTTTTTTGCTGAATCAGCTTTTTTTTTGGTTGATCGCTCCTGAAAAGATCGTGACGTTTTTCGTTAGAATTTCTTAAAATAGCCTTTTATCTCTAAAAGCCGCATTCTTTCGCGAGATTTTCAAAGATAATTTCTGCGATTTTCTTTGGCGATGTTTGTAGAGGTGACTTTGAAAGATCTGATTCACAAATCAAACTGAAAAACGTTTTAAAAAACATCATTTGTGAAGAAATTTAAAATCAAAGAATTTTTGAGGTTATTTTATAGCGTTTAAAATCTGTAATAATCATGCGAAAACAATTTCAATTCTAAGCCTCAAGATTGCTTTCAACAATTTGATTTATTTCTTCTCAAAAATATTTCCATGAGCGGCTGCGCAACCGGCGAGATGTTTTTCGGGGCCGTCAATGGTGGCCAAAAGATAAGCAGGATCGAGTTCAGCCCAAGCTTTCTGGAGTGATTTTTTTTCAGTGAATCAATGCTAGAATGCGCTTTTGCGCAGGCATTTACTTTGAGAACACTCCAGACCTAGCAATCTATCGGATTTAAATCGGGGCTTGATGGTGGCCACTGCTTAAAGCTGATGAAATCCTTCTTGATATTCTTCTTTGTTGTCAAGTTAGGTTTTCGGCCGCGTCTCGAAAAATGGTCCACTATTTCTTTACAAAATCTTCATCAAAATGGTCCACTATTTCTTTACAAAATGGCTTTTAGCTAAGTGAAACAAACTAGAATAGAGACGTTGTTCCGAGAACGTGGCAAATAGGGTCACTCCAACTAGCATTCATAAAAGGAAAATAAAGTAAAGATCATTCGAGTAGCTTCAATTGTTTCTGTACCTACGGTTATTTTCGGAACAGTAGTAACCTTGTTTTTGCCCGACTCAATCGAGGAATTTCTGAAGGAACTGAAAACAGTGCTGATGGAATTTGAAAAATTATATGACTAAAAAAATGCTCGATCGAACCGCCGGTGGGACGTCCATACTCGAGTCGTTGATGGTGGGCACAAATTACAATGAAAATATTTATACGAAAGTCGAAGGGTGGTTGGAAAACCTACTGCAATCGCTGGCTATTCTAAGCGGATCTTGCGAAAAACTTTACTCGACTGACTCAGAGACGGCAATTCAAGATGAATTTGCGGAAATATTACGCAAGATTCTTTTCGAAATGACTGAGAGTTAAATGAAATGAAATTTTGCATTATGAATTGCAAGTTTTATTCACTTTGCAACAATTTATTGCAAACATATAATAAGCAAACAAGCTTAACAACAACAAAAAAATTAATTAACAACTTCCCTAAAGTGCAACACAACAAAATGTTAGAACAAAATCAAGTTGAACCAAAAAATAATTAAAAATTAAATGTTACTTGTTTGAGCAGGGATTGCTGTTGTGACATCGACTGTTGCACAAAACGTTGGACTTGAGGCATACACATCGACCATTTACGCATCTGTACACTTACAGTGCTTGTGCCCAAAAAAAAGCAATTAAACAAACGCTACAAAAAATACCTTGAGATCCGGTGAGAGATTCGGCGCCGACTGCTGAGCGATATGATGTCTCCTTTGGTCCGTGCCCATGATCCTTGTGTGCTTTTATCAACATCAACAGTTCAAAGAGATTTTCCTTGATCATCACTCGTTTCATTTCTTCGGTTCTTCCAATGTTGTAGATGATGTCCAGATCGTTCTCCTTTTGCAAAGTAAAGCGCGCCAACAAATTGATTTCTTCAGGAGTCCTTTTTCCTTTTGTATCTTCACTGGTTATTTGTTTGATCGTTTTCACTATTTCGGCGTGCTTTGTGACATCGGGAATCCAATTGTATTTCTTCGTAGATTGATGTTGCGTAAGGTGATCAACAAATTTACTTTCCATTTCTAAAAAAATAGCTAGAAAAGTTGCAACGATACACGAGATAAATCGAAAAAAAGAAACGATTGAAAAAAATCATTATCCACATAGGCCATTTGGGTCTTTGCATCGAAAGTCACGATTTTTCCCTTTTTTCGATCTAAAATCAAAAACTTGTTTAATTTGAGATCTAAACAAGTTAAGACACTTAAAAGTTCAGTTAATTCTTTTTCAGGGAAAAGTTATCGTCTCTTCTACAAAGGGACTAATGATTCTTGTCATTATGATTAATATAAAAGTCTAGCTATGTCTAAAGTTTTGCTCTAATAGAACTGCGTTTCTAATCGTACTGCGTTTCTAATAGTACTGCGTTTCTGGTTTCTGCGTGGATATGGACCTAAAGTATTCAACCATACCTTACCTAGACTGTAATTGAAGCCCCCTCTCCTTCAATTACAGTATAGGTAAGGCCCCCCGGGGCCCCTCTCTAATAGAAGCCCCCTCTGGAGGGTAAGGGAAAAATAGTTTTATCAAAGAGCAAACTATAGCTCTTTATGCATTTTTAATATGTTAATCAGGCACGTATTGCCTAGCTTTGGGCAAAGTTTCATCTCGATCTAATAGCTGGACTTCAAGCAGAAGACTTTTGTTTGAAGTCAGTCGATTTGGACTCTTTGATCTTCTGTGTACTAGATTTTTCTGCTAGCCCTAAACATTTCCAGCCAAAAGTTGGCAATTTGAAGCCAATTTGAAGCCAATTGACCAGCCCATTTGCCAGCCAATTTGAAGTAGATACTTTGAAGAGGATAATTTGAATAAAAACATAAAGATACCAAGTACTTTCCCAAAAAACTTTGACAGCATTTCAAATTATCAAAAAGTTGCTTAAAACTAAAAAAAGTAAGTTTTGAAATGTCTAAAAGTTCATGTGGTAATGGGAATTTTATACCAAATCTCTTATCTAGGCGCTGATAAAAAACACTGGTAAAAAAGTTTCTGGATTGGATTCTTTTCTGAAAAATTTTCCAGGAAAATATCTTGCAAGTGACTTTTTTCGCTCTTTTGTTCATAGCTCAACTTGCATTCATCAAAACGGGGGAAAAACTTGCTGCCTAATAGACAATCGAATACTAACAATGTTTCAAAAGTTTCATAAAAACACCTAGTTCAATCTTTAAGAAAGCTCACAAGCAAAAACTCTTGTTATGCGATGTGGACTAGATCAGAACTCCTTCAAGACAACAGCCAACCTTTTGTGAATGGCATGATTATCGAAGGCTTCTGGCTAATCAGTTTTCAAACAAAAGCCTTCTGCTTGAAGCCCAGTCATTAGATCGGAATGAAACTTTGCCTAAAGCTAGCTAATGCGTGTCTGATTATCATATCAAAAATGATTATCATGTTTGTCGTTTTGTGAGCAAGATGATTTACCTATAAACTGCTCGGCCACATTGATCAAATGACATTTTGGACACTCCTTCAAGACAACAGCCAACCTTTTGTGAATAGCATGATTATCGAAGGCTTCTGGCTAAATTTTATGCGTTAAAAAGTGGAAAGAAAACTTAACGTCAAAATTGCGGTGCACCATTTTGTTCGGATCACCACCTTTCTCGAGCACATCAACGTATTTTCGAAGGAACGAAGCCCATGGCGTTGTAATGTCCTTGGGACAGTATGGTTGATGAGATTCGATGAAGATGTGATCAGCAAATTTACTGAATAAGAATAATTGAAATATGTAGATAGACATTGATATTGACATTGACATTGACATTGCCATTGACAATAAAGTCAGTTCCAAAGCTCTGGTTGACTGGCTCATTATCAAAACTGACTCTTTAATTGCATGTACGGTCCTAGCCGGGCCTCCCACCTCAGTAAAGAGAAAATAGCTGATAAATTTACTCAGTTACACAAAAAAAAGATTGCGATTATAAACTCTTGTGATGTTTAAATAGATTCAAAGTTTCATTGCTCACCTCAGTCTTCTTGTCGCATTCAAGTACAGTTCTAGAATTTTGTCATTCTTTTGAAGGGGTTTCAGATGGCCTTGTACGTACCTATTATACAAAAAGTTCACTAAAAAACCAAGCCAATTCTTTCAAAACCTCAATAAAATGAAAACAATCTGAGGCCGAGTCTCCTCAACGAATTTCCAATATCCCTCCGATTGACCTAAATATTCGAAAATGAAAGGACAAGGTGCGGCAGAAATATGGTAACTTTATCGATTTATTGAGCCTAACTCAGTCCTCGATGCCTCAAATCAAATAATTCTTTTTTGCTGAATCGTTCTAAGATTCTATTTATGGTTCCATTTGCCCAAAAACATGAACATGTCCAAGAAGTAGTTATAAACATTAAAATTTAATAAAAGAAGCGGTTCTTTTCCTGCAGAAAGTTCTATCTAACCATTTGGACATTCCCGCGCACTTTGAATAATTATTAGAACTTTTAGGAAACAGTTACCTTTGTTCAATAATGTTTTTCCTAGAGCAAGTAACGCAGAATGTACTAGCAAAATAGAATTATTTGTTTTGAGGCATCGAGAACCGAGCTAGGCTGAATAACTTGAGTTTCCATAATTCTGGCGCATCCAGTAATCTGACAAGTGACTTTTACCTTTTACATAATCGAATGGAACCGCCGAAGCCGCGATGGCGAACATGTCCATCGTTTGGATATCGTTTTGAAGAATTTCTCGTACTATCTAAAAAATTTGTTACTAGCCGGTTATACACTCCATTGAATCAAGTACAATTGTATCCCCCTCCGAAAAATGAGGGGTAGCCAGGCACAGAAGGATCGCGCATGTATTAGGGGCACCTGAGCCTGGGCCCACCAACTGCTAAATTTAGCAAAAGTTTTGCGTCCACCAACGAGTTTTGCTAAATTCCACGGTTGCACCAACGCATTTAGCAAGTTTAGATTTAGCAAAATTAGCTTTTTTTTGCTAAACACCTCCGAGAGTGTTTAGCAGTGCCGCCAGCTCCGAAAAAACATTTATAGCTCTGCTCTGGACAAAGATATCAAAAAACTAATCACAGATTTCAACTCCAACATCCTCTGGCTACAAAACAAGCCAAAATTTGACCAGTTTTGAGCACTTGAACTTCATGTGCTCATGAAAAATTCAGCATTTAGCATTTAGCAAAGGTGCTAAATGCTAAATCGATTTTGCAAAATTGGTAAATGCTAAACTGGTAAATCCGTTTAGCAAAATTGTTAGATTGGAAATTGGTAAATGCTAGATGGTAAATGGTAAGTGGTTTGGTAGACCCGGGCCCTGTAGAACAAGTTCTGGTTATAGTATGCACGCCTCGATACAGGTGCGGCGCCGCTGAGCTCAACTCTAGCAGAAAAGTCCCTGGGTTGAGAGTGTATAACCGTATTTGATGTGCTGGGGCGTACAATCGACTAGTGCCGAAAATTGAAATCTTCTGTCAGCAAAGATGTGAAAATAAAACTTCAGTGTCGCCTTTTCTTACATGCGTCTGCTGTGACGCCCAAGAGTTTCCCGAAACGACCACACGATACTTTCCGGTTCCATTCTAAAGTTTATTCTAGCTTTCTTTTGCGATTGCTTTTCTCAATTGTTTATATTTCTAATGTTCTGTGCTCTACTTTGAAAATACTAGCCTTATATTGGTAATGTCCCATATCGGATCGTTTCTGTTTCCACGCGTCATTCACCATTACTCCCTCCTCCAATTTATACATTGTCTTGTACGCTTTACGGTTCTCCTCGACAATCGATTTCATAGCTGGAAAGTCGTGGATTTTTATGGAAAAAGCGAAAACTTTTTTAGTCTCAAAAATCTAGGCTTGCAGCCTTAGGATACTTGGGAAGAGTACTAGGTGACCGTGGGATTTCGAAATGCCATCCGATAGAAATCTAGCCCATCCGATAGAAAATCGAACGGGGAATCCAAATCTGTAATCGAGATCTGCTGAATAGCTCGAAAACGCGAGATTTCTGGCATCAGATCTTTTGCTAAACACTCTTGAGCTGAGTTTACGCTTCTCTTTTAACGGCGGTCTTGGTGTAGCGGGTAGTGCGCTTGTTTACGGAACGGATCGAATTTTTGCAGTGAGTTCGAATTTTCTATTTTCTATCGGATGGGCTAGGTCTCGTTTCGAAATCCGACGGTAACCTAGTACTCTTCCCTAGTAAGAGGAATCCCACAACCTAGCAACCCTTCCCCTGTTCGCAGAAAGCATCAAGATTGGGCTGTAAAGGTACACCTCTGCTTCTGTAAAGGCAGCAGACAAGAGGTGAAAGACTATTTCTTTTTTTTTGATAGGGAAAGAATTGCACGACAAATAAAATACTGCTTTTTGTGATCCAGATTATGTTGTTTTTAGGACCATTACTAGGCTCAGCCCCATATTCTTCATCTATTCTTACCCCCAGCCACTATTCTTTTTATCGTCTTACAAAATCGTGTCGAAAGAGTCGGCTCATGGCACTAAAAAAAATGGGTGGGGGTAAGTTTCGGACTCCCCCTTTCCCTTCCCACCTAAAAGTGGGGAGTGAAGGTTATCCCTTCACTTCAAAACTATTCTATTCAAAAATTAAAGAACTTTACCACATTCCGGGTGTACAATCGATGCCCATTTCCAGCTGATCAACAATGAAAGAATGAGAAATTTGAGAATCTCCTTGAAAACCGTTTTCCTATCAGCTACAAGCATGGGTTTTTCGTAGAAATGATGAACGAGGGCGCTCAGTAGAAAAGACATCACAAAAGCTAGGCATTTTACTGCAAAATCTCGATTCTTTTCATAGAGCCAGCATCCGACAAACCGATATTTTCTTCAAGATCGTAATATGAAGCCAAATACTTTGAATAGCTGAGCACCGGATAGTGAATCAAATAGAGAGCATAGGAGATCTCGCCCAGATAGTTCAGACGAAACTTTGACCAATCAATCAAGCTACAGAAATTGAATTGATTTTGCCTTTCTGCTATTTATGGTTTCTTATAGTATTGTGAAAACTGTTCTAGAAAATAAAATTATCACTTTGCCCATTTTATTTTGCCTGATAACAGAAAGTGGCAGACTTCGTTATGAGAACTTTTTTATAAAAATTCTGTACAATTTTCTGCTTACTAGAGAAAGTTAACGAGTAATGGGATTTCACAATTAAAGCAATTAACGCAATTAACGAGTTAACGGGCTTATTTGATCGAGTTTTTCATGGAGATTTCGAACCCGCATTCAATTTTGCCGAATGACTTTCAATCTTGAGATCTTTGACCTCAAAATCTTCACTGAAAAGGCTAGGTGTCACTGGGAAATGCCATCGTAACTTGTTGCGTTTTTCTAGTTTTATCTCTACCTATGTGGAGCAAATTTCATGAAGACGCCGACCATTATTGTGACAAAGATTTGGATCAGCCGTGGGTCGAGCAATTGAACCGGGAGAAACACGACAAACGTCAATAAAAGAGAAACCACGGCGATTGCCTTGAGTTTTCGGTTTGGCTGCACTTGTTGTATCTCTTTTGACTAAAAGATTTGGGTTATTAATGGCGGTGAGTCGAGTTGCAATTTCAAATGTATGCAGTAACTTAAAGTTAAAAAACTGAATTTTTTTGCTGATTTGGAATTCAATCAACTTTGTTTTCCTTATGAAATCTAGAGAATTTCACAGGAAATTTGCTGTATATAATTGAGGGTTGTCTGTTGTTCCGTCTGTCCGTCCGTAGGCACAAAAATTTTTCGAGGTGTGGAGGAGCAGGTGTGACCAAGGGGATAGCGCGCCGGTCTTCAGATCCCGGTTCGGACCCAGACCGCGGGATATTGTTTTGCTTTCGTTATTCAATGAAAAAAGTTGTCTTTGCTATGAATTATTGTAAAATGTTCGTCTTTCGGAAAAAAATCAGGGAATGGGTTTTTCGGGCTGGATATTGATACCCGGGGGCTTACGACTATGTTGAGGCCGAATCTGAAGTCAGATTCGAGGCCTGTGTGCAAGTTAGCAAACGAGTTTAGTCAAACAGTTGTTGATTGGACCAAAAATAAGAAAAATATTCCGTTTTTTTAACCTTTTTACGTTGCTATACTACATATATGCCGTAAATAAATTCAGCCCATACCTATTGGGTTGGTGAGTTGAAAACTGCCGGCCATTGTCATCTGTGAGAGTTTGAGCACTTTCTTCAAAAGAAACCCATTTTGGTGTCAATGGAAAAGTTGTAGAGAATCAAAAATGAAGCTTATATCCAAATTTTCAGAACGATTCAAAAGCTGGTTTTCAAGAAATGCGAAATTTACGAATTTTCACAAAACTTGCAACAAAACTTGCATTTTAAGCGAAACTACTAAGCGTATCTTTTTGGAAATTTGGCTATAAGCCTAATTTTTGATTCTCTACAACTTTTCAATTGACACCAAAATGGGTTTCTTTTGAAGAAAGTGCTCAAACTTGGACATCTCCTTCTAGTCCTCCATTTTTGAGTCTCACACTTGTCCCACACACAAACCAAAATCCTACTACGAAAGAGGAATCCGAAAGAGGAATCAAATTGCCTGTAAAATGGGTAGAAGTCGTCAATAATAATGGAAATTATTTGGAATGAATTCATGGCTTTATTTTGAATAAATTTTAGTTCAAAGTCCGGCAGTTTTCAATTCACCAACCCAATAAGTTGGATTTTTGAGATTCAGCCTTATAATCACCGTAATTTCCTCTGTCCAAAAGGAGGCCAGCATTCCGATCAGGAATTGCCAAAGTCTCGCAAACGGATGATAAAAAGCGGTGATTGGGGTGATTTCGAGGCGGAATTTCAGCGAAATCACCAGGATTATGAGCATTATTAACCATCCACATCGATAGCCTGAATTCATTTGGCTTAATTCAAATAAAAAGAAATATTTATTATTAGAGTGTGTTCCCCTCAAGAAATAGTGTGAAATAGGAAACGGGTTAGGTCGAAATCAACAGAATATCTCAAATATCTTCTACAATTTTTAAGATATTCAGTTTATTTTAAATGTTTTCTATTTTGCGTTCGTTTCCGATTTTGCGCTATTTCTTGAGAGAAACACAATCGATTTATTATACCCTCGACTTGCATCTTTGAGCAGAGAAAAATGATTGGTGCGACAATATAGAATTGCATCTCTACAGCTAGAGACCAAAAATGAAGAAATGGAATCCCAACGGTTCCCTAGAATATGAAATTGTTAGACTTTTCTCCTACAAATTTCTTCGGAAATACAAATAAACGAAAATACAAACAAACTTCTTCGAAATAGTCACCATCTGTTGAGACCATTCTCAAATTTAGTGTCAATAAATTTGACGGAAGATAGTAGGAGAAATATTGCTGGGCCCAGCTGGCCGAATAGACAAACATTGCAAAAAAACCTGAAAATAGAAGATTATTTATAGTTTTGACTGTAAATAGTGATAGATCTAGACTTGATTCAATTTCGTGATTGATTAAAAGAACCGGGTCACTCGGTCCGGGTTCATTTAGGCTCATCTTCAATTTGAATACCCAGAAGGTAAGGTAAATGATAAAAGGAGTGGAATGCAATGCTTACTAGAGAAAGTTGTTCCATTGGCATCAGACCTAGGAAACAGAGATCTAGTGCATTCTATTGGAAAACAATCTAGTTTCCGAATCATCCGTCAATCCTATTCTAATCTAATTATCTAGTTGATGATTTTTCAGCGATTTTAGCCACCAAAGTTATAGTAGTCTCTGTTGGATGCATGATATATCATTATTAAAAAATTCACTCCTCATCCTTTAAATAAGAACCCAAGATTTTGACTCCTTTTGTTCTCACCCGTAATAAAGACGATCAAGTAGTAGAGTGGGCAAATTCGCTTTACTCGTTTATAGTAAAACTCGACAATCATATGATGGGGAATGAGTTTCGATCGATCGAGCACCACTATCATCAAGTAACCAGAAATGACGAAAAAGCTAAACTTTCACGGCAAGATAGAGACAAAAGATTTGAATGATTTACAGATCAACTCCGAGAAATCCTTCCGGGAAAATCGAAGGCCAAAAATGATAACCGAGAACGGCCAATATGGCGAGAGCTCTCAAAAGAGCGATGTCTTGTCGAAAATCGCTCACATCTAAAAAGAATTTAAGAGATTTTATGGGATGTGGAGAAGCAGGTTTTTGGTAAGGTGGTGTAGCTTTCGTAGGTAGGTTTAATGGATACCATTATTGAAAAATTCACTCCTCATTCTTTAAATAAGAATCCAAGATTTTGACTCCTTTTGTTCCTTTTGTTCTCACCCGTAATAAAGACGATCAAGTAGTAGAGTGGGCAAATTCGCATTTGTAGACTAGTTATACTTACAAGGGAACGTTCCAAAGAGGCTGTGAGACTTTTAAACGGCGAAAATTGCACTATTTCATTTCGAGATTACAAAGCATGCTGCGAGAAGCAGAAAAGAAACAAAACTTGAGTTCTGTCCATCAAGTTTATGATCAAAAGTAGCTAGTTTCACTTCAATACCTTACTCTGATAGAGATTGATGCTACTTATAAGTGTAACTGCATTTCCTCAAATAGAACCACATGGTTGTTTTTTTTTTCGCTCAGCTTTTTCGAATTCGGTCAAAGAGTAGGTAAAAAGGAACTTTTCAAAAACTTAGCTTGATCTATAAAAAGCAGGCCAGCCGATAAACTAAAAATTAAAGTTCTTAGAAAAACAAACTTTATTAATTTATAAATTTCATTTAGAATATTCTTGAACAATTTTTTTATATACATAGAAAAAAGAAAACTTGCTTTGCCTTGTTTGTGCTATCGTAGTTTTTGCAAGATGTATCGACGGCTGATCAAAGGGCAAAAGTTGCTCTTCATCAAGTTTCTCCATGAAAAAATAGCAAAATCAAATTTTTTCGTTAGTTCTCCCAGAATTGAAAAATCAAGCCTCCATAAAGATAGATAAAAATTGAAGAGTTTAGAGTAATAGTAAAATTTCGAGCTGAAAAGTTTCGTCTGCGCCTGACACACCCAATCTTATTATAGGAGAAAAGCCTTTTTGTCATAGGAGAAAAATCTCAACTGATAAGAAAGAAATATTCACTGGAGGAATGTCGTAAATTCTTTGCTGAATAAGAAATGAATAAAAGACTAAAATCAGACGATGCACATATCGATCGTTAGACAAATACAGGGTGATCAAAGAGTTCCCGCACAGTTTACAAAAGAAGCTTCATTTTTCAGCTAAAACTCAAATCAAAATTGGACTTACTATATAGTATTTTGAAGCTGAAATCCTGGGAGCATTTCTACAATTAAACCATCCTGATCAGAGCCATCTAGCTCGCCATAGAAGCAAAGTAGTACGCTGGAGGCAAACTGTCATGGCGCTCACCTATTTTAACCTGTTTTCAATTCAAAAATCCTTCAAAAGGCCTTTTTAAATTTATACTTTTGTTTTAAGTAACAGCTCAAATGTTATTTTAAAAGAATCAAATCTCTCGTCAAAATATTGGCTTGGTGGGTATGACTTGGTACGTTTTTTCAAATGAAATCCCAGAGATGTAAACAAACATGAGGGAGTTTGTGGAAAATAGGTAAATGAGCATTCACTCTTGCGAAAACAATGAACTTTCACTTTCAACATATTTGGTTTTTGGAAATTTACTTAACTTTGTTGAACTTAACTTTGAACTGGGCCTATTGAAAATTTCCAGCTGGAGAGACACGTTATGTTGTACGAATTTCTACAAGGACACAAGGGCCTCTAATGTTCAGCTAATATTGAGAATACTTATGTGGAAGGATCAGTCACACTACGGACCTGTGCAAACTGGTTTGTTCAATTCCATTCTGGGGATAAATCCTGAAATACAAAGGGAAGGGTCATCCAGCAGTCCAGCGGGATACTGACGAGTTGCTCGAAATTTTTCAAACCAAAGAAAAGGCTTTCTTGTTGCGAAATCGTAAAAGAGTTATCAGTTGCTCATACAATAATACTCGAATATTGGATACACTTGGGTCTAAATCAAAATTAGGGACTTGGATTCCACATGTTTTAACGGACACCCAGAAATGGCAACGTGTCAGAAACCAGTGCCGCTCATCTTTCTCGATACGAGCGCAAATCTTTTTTACCCCGTATTGTGACGGGGATGAAAATGGATTCTACAGGGTGTCCCAAAATTATGGTTACGCGCACTCTATTTGCCTTTTTTTTCATTTTACTGGTTTTTTCTTACTTTTTTGGTTTCATTGTACTAATTTATCTATTTTCAGGTATGAAATCGAAGAAGGACCTTCGACCAGCTATAATTTCCCTCCACCAACGGGGAAAAACCAACGCTGAAATTTCGCGAATCTTGCAGGAGGGGAAAATGAATGTGTCCCGCGCAGTGAAGCGATACAAGGAAACGGGATCAAATGAAGATCGCTCGGGACGCGGTCGAAAGAAGACTGCCAATGTTTCTGCAAAACGACGAAAAGTTTTTAAACGGCTCAAAAGAAGTCCGAATTCGTCCAAGAACTCCGTTCGAAAACTCGCGCAATCTGTCGGAATCGGCAAGAGTTCTGTTCATCGTATGCTCAAAACAGCCGGCATGAAAGCCAGAAAAGGTGTCAAAGGCCATTTATTGACGGACGTTATGAAAGCAAAACGATTTTCCCGGTGCAAGCAGCTTCTGAGACGCTTTGGCTCAAATCGCCATCAAGGAATTCTCTTCACAGACGAGAAGTGGTTTGCTATTGAGCAAGCCCATAACCATCAAAACGATCGTGTTTGGTCAAAGGATCCACTACCTCTTGATGATAGAATTGTGTCAAGACAACAAAAGCCGCAACAAGTTATGATATGGGCCGGAGTAACTCACAGCGGAAAAACTCCTTTGATCTTCATTCCACCAGGAGTCAAAATCGATAAAATAGCTTATATCAATATGCTTCAAAAATAATGTTTTGCCCTGGACTCAAGCTCATTTTGGCGCCAATAGCTGGACTTATCAACAGGATGGAGCTCCATCTCACAAAGCAGCTGTTACACAAGAATGGATCTCAAACAACTTTCCTGACTGGATCACAGTGGATATCAGCCAACAACGTCCGGGCAAATGGCCTTCAAACAGCCCTGACCTAAACCCCTTAGACTATTCTATCTGGTCCATTCTTGAAAGCAAAGCTTGTGCAAAAGCTCACACAACAATAGACTCATTGAAAAAGGATTTGATCAAAGCTTGGAACGAGATTCCTTTGTCTACCATTGAAAAGGCCATTAATGACTTTCCAAAACGATTAAGGAAATGCATAGCTGCTAAAGGAGGCCATTTTGAGATTTAAATGTTGTTTTTATTGTTAATTAAATTGTTTAGAATAAATTTTTCCTTATCAGCTGATTTTTGCTATGTAAATAAAGTCGAAAACTTTTACGTTATTTCGTAACCATAATTTTGGGGCACCCTGTAATTGTCGGAGAAGGCGACAATGGGTTGCTGAAGGGGAAAAGCCAGAACCCGACGTCAAGCCAAATGTGGATGAGAAGAAGTTTATGCTCTCGGTGCTCTGGGATTTGGAAGAGCCTATCTGCTGAGGACTTTTGGCAAGACAACACTCACTTGAAAAAAGGACTGTGGGCTACAAATTTGACCAGCTGATCTGATAAGAAAGAGGAGCCAATTTTTTGTTTGCTGGGAGAAAAGAGAGTCAACAACCCTTTTATAATATAATTTTATACGCGGATTATTTACGGATTCCGCTAATTAATCTAAACCCATAGTTCGACTTTAGAAGACTTTAAATTTTGAAAAAATCTTTTATTTTTCAGCCGATGCGTTTGCTTTGGTTTTTCGTTCTCGTGCTCGCTCTGGCCGCCTCCGGGAATCCAGGGAATCCATCACTGAAAATCCGCCTGAATCATCGGGGATGGGATTTCCTCAGAGAGACCGGAATACGAATGGTTTGCAAACATTTTATTTCATTTATTTATGTATGAACTAATGTAGAGCTAAGGTATGAAGTCGATTTTCAGCTCAAACGATTTTGAGCATCATCAAGACTGGGTGAATATCCGAAAACTGGATATCGGCTTTTTTGTATGGAAATTTGGATACATATTTTGGGCTAATAAGGGCGATAGTGAGGTCATAAAAAACAGAAATAGCCAAAATTTTACCTAAGAAGTTACAAATATGTGAATGTGAATATATCCAATATCCACAGCCCTGATCATTCTCTTTAGCTCGAGAAGAATATGCCGGGAATGCGTCTACCAGATCAAGAACACAAGAAATCTTACAAATTGGAATTGTATGATATGATAATCGACGGAATGAAAAGACCACAGTGAGAAAATTTTGCACCAAATGGTTAGGTAGAGAGCTTGGTATGATAAACTGACTATGCAAGTATTTTTTTAATGAGCATGCCACTAAAGAGTAGCGTTTTCTCTAAACTTTTCCTAGTTAGACCCTAAAAATGACCTAAATGACCTAATCAGTAAAATTCAGCTTTCACTATACGCTCACCGAAAACGGGATTTCGATACGAATGGAGGGAATGGAGCTTTGGGGTCACGGAACCTATCGAATCTCCAAGAAGATGATAGCTAAGGTTATACTCCTTTTTGAGTGTTTTCTTGTTAACAGGGGAGAAGTTCTTTTTGGCATGATTGAGATAGGTCCCTAGGTAGGTGGAGTACATTTATTAGGGAGAGCACTTATACTAGAAAATCCCAACAATAGTATACAGAGTGGTACGAAATTATAGCAAAATTTGCTGGAATCAGCCAACTATGATTTAAAAATAATTAAACCACTGGTAAAATAACATTTTTTATCTATTTTTCAACAAAAAAATCAACCAAGCTTAAAGTGGAAGCCTTGAGCGTTAGTACAGGCCCGGAGCGTTAGTACAAGCCCGGAGCGTTAGTATAGGCCTGGAGCGTTAGTACAGGCCTGGAGCGTTAGTACAGGCCTGGAGCGTTAGTACAGGCCCGGAGCGTTAGTACAGGCCTGGAGCGTTAGTACAGGCCTTGAGTCGTTTCGGGAACGCAGGTAGACTAGACCGTGGATAGCAGGTAGACTCTATTCAACTCATCCCAGGCTTTCAACAACGATTTCTTCAAGGAATTGATGTTTTTGTGCGGCTTCGAGCAAACTTTTGCTTCCAAAACGGTCCAGACAGAGTCATCAAGGGGATTAAGATCAGGAGAGCTTGGTACTTGACAAATTACTCGGTACACTCGGAAAACTTGATAAATTCGATTGTTCTCACATCAATACTGAACTTTGCGAACTTTTTACGCAGGCACCCTCTTGCTGAAACGCCCAATGGCGTGCCCCGAAGTGTGGATTTGCCCATCGAAATAATTAGTCTTTAAGGAAATTGAAATACACGTCCTGATTGATCTTAACACCAGCATCCACGAAAACAAGCGACATTTTTCCATCTGATCGCACAGCTGCATAAACGATAACCGATTGTGGATGAGAAACTCGCTAAATTCCAGAATTAATCTTCGAATAGATGCGATTATACTCTTCAACAGTAAATATCGTTTCATCAAATCAGATGCAGATTGTTTCCGATCCGTCTCAGCAGGGCCTTTGAGAGTGCTAATCGTTTAACTTTAAACAATAATTGGACTTCGTTTTGCTTGTAGGTCGTCAACAACGATTCTTCGAAGAGAAGAGAAGAAGCAAATCCCTTTCGCATTTTGCGCGCGGAACGACCACCGTTTTTGCGGATCGTGTACGCAGTATCGTGCGTTTTTGCGGATCGTGTCCTCGCATCTCAGTAGTTCTTAGTGCGCTTCCGACCTCTTCTAATCCGATCCTGATTTATTCCCAAGACTCTAAATATTTTACTCGTTCGATAAACAACGATCTTGTTGATCTTCAGTCGCTTGGCGATGTCGGTCGCTGATATCCCACTTTTATGCAAGACGACGATCGAATCAAGATGAACAAATTTTTTGACCATTCCTAAAATTAGCAAAGCTTTCGAGTAATAATATAAAATACAATCAAATAAGGAGAAAAAAATATCGAAGCTTTAGGGAAGCTTTAGGAATATAAATCGATTGCAGCTTCATTGAAGCCGACCCGAGTTGCTTTGGACCGTTGGACCCGAATTTTGGACCACCCTGTACACTCCTTGTTACAAGTACCCCACCCAGTCTGCCTGCGTTGGTCTCCCAACCATTGAGAAATCGAGATTTTGAAAATTCCCCTACTTTACAGTTCTCCACACACGGCCGGCTTGATGCCCGTTTACGCAATGTGCACGCGAATGGCCTCGTTCGAATTGGTCTTCATGAAGGGCGCCCACAAATATTCTTTGAGAACTGCAACGCCGGTGTCGGAGATGTGGAACTTGAGTTTGTCATATGCATAATATATTCAGACGATTCAAGGAGGATTTCAGTTTTCACGGCCGAGCCGCATGGATTATCAACCTTTTCACCGGATATCTAAACGACAAGGCAAGACGGGAAATCAACAAAAAAGTGAGTGATGAAAAGGAGCTGGCTTCTATTCTAGTTTCAAGAGTTTGAAAATTTATGACAAAATTGATGGTTGATAAGTTAGACTTTCGACGAGTGATAGATCTCTAGAAATCATGTAGTCTATATTTTCACCCTCACCACCCCCTATCCAACATCCCACCACTACCTCATCACCCCCTACCCAGCCCCCACCATCCCCTATTACCCTTGATGAGCGGAATTGAACACACAAGATTGACCCTTGACGGAATTGACACAAGATTGATGTTTCACTACCCTTGACCATTCATTGTAACCGTGGGTTTGACTCGATCAAACTCGCTGACACGTCTACAGGCCTGTCAATACTTGCAAGACGCTATCGTTGATGCGAACACGAAAATTCTCTCGACGCCACTACACTTTGATTTGAAAGATGATCTCTCGTTGGATTATCGCTTTTTGCATATGGTGCACAATGCGTGAGTCGTTTTTGTCATTGTAGTACTGTAATACAAAGAGTAGTAACCTTCTCTATTGTAAATATTTCTTTATTGTAAACAATAAAGAGATTCTAGACAATACACCGAGACATGGCTGGCGGGAAGTGTGACAATGGGCAAATTCCATTGTTCCATCCATGCGACACCCATGGATGCAGGTCAGAGTTCTTGAATTCTGACTATCATCAAATGGAATGCTGGAAAGCTTTGGATCTAATCAGAGTTATCTAGGTCTACAAATTGTTATTAGACCGAAGCACACATTTTGTTTCAACAGCACTTTAGATAGATTTGGTACTTCAGGCTGTATCCTTCTCGATTTCAGGGCCAAATCCAGGAGATTTCATGACAACGGTGCTGATCTCCGAGCAGCTGGCCTCTTGTGTGCTCGATTCCGCCCACAAAGCCGACCTCATACAAGTCACCTTCACCAAGCATTCACGTGATATCGAAAAATCATTGAAGACAGGGTTTGTGTTTCTAGTATGAGTTGATGTGAAACAAATCGATTTAATTATACCAAAACAAGAGTGAGTAGTTTTAGTTGTAGTGGAGAAGCTTTGACCGAGCTTTGTATGGGCACCTTATTCCCGGAACTCGCGATCAAATATCCAAACCAACACGTTGACGCCGTCTGTTATGCAAATCAGACTCCAAAGGTGTGCACAACTGTTCTTTTATTGCACAACTGCACAGTGCTCTTTCATTTCTTTTTTTTCAGTTATCATTAAGCAAGACAGCTTCTTTGGATCTCTCGCTAAGTCTTGACCTCTTCCTCCATCCAAAAGCGGACAATCCAAATCGATTAGCGTTGTGGGAAATTGTTACCATGGCTTAGGCTTAGGATAAGCCATACCGTAAATACTGTAGTTGAAGCCCTACGGTATATAAAACTTGTTTTTTTTTTTGATTTGTGCCTAGGAACGAAAAAAAGGGAAACCTTTGTTATGTTAAAAGCTCTCTATAGAAATCAACTCCACATCGCATGTGTTTGTTCGAACCGAGGATACAATGCTGAAAGTTCGAGTGAAAAACACAAAAGTGCAGCTAAAGGAAACCTTCTCCGAAATTGGACGCTTGAGGTAAATAAAGAACTCAAATGTTTCCCCTATTCAATGCAAAATTCAGTTTCCTCGGCAGCTATTTGATCGCTAGTTTTGAGCAACTTCTGTTAAATGTATTTCTACAGAAGCCTATCCCCGTTCCGGTATTTCGAGAAGCTGCCATGGCAATAGCTGGTAAGCTGTGACTTTTAGAAAGCCTTTTATTAGTGACCTTTTATTTATTCTCCTTTTATTTATTCACAAATCATTTATTCACCAAATATAACATTAATATAGGCCAACTTTCATTTTGTAAATAATGGACCAAATTATGTTTTGTGAAAATGCATATCGACTCATTTTAGGAAACCCACAGCATACGATCGAAAATGGTTTTGTTCGCGTTGATGCCAATTTTGTGCATCATTGAGAACTATAGAAAAGGAACAAGATCTGGGATTTCGAAAAGCAATTTTTTGAAACGAGCAATATATTTTTATTCTTGTACAAAATTCAATGCAAAATTCAATGAACAATGAACGTTTTATGGGCTATATAAAGTAAAGAGTATTTAAAAACAAAGAAAAGCGCAAAGCAACGAAAGGGAAGAGAGCGATTGTTGAGAGTGATTGCTGCTGCTGATTGTTGCTGCTCATTGTTGCTCTTAGAGAGTGATTGTCGCAAGCAGTAAAGAGAAAATAGCTGTTAAATTTACTTAGTTACACAACACAAGATCGGCATTCCACTCTAACTAGGGAAAGTGAGAAAGAAAGAAATGATGCCAAATATCTAATGATTGAAAGCCATTTTGCTAGAGCGGACTTCAGATTCAGATTCTTCGGGTTCGGTTCTAGGGATAGTCCAATCTCCACGATCACCCCTTCCATCTTTGCCTTTCTCTAGTAAGTATAAGTGTCAAATATCACGATAGTTGCCAATAATTTGTATTCGAAAGTGATTATGTTCCTGCTGAATGGTCAGCATGACCACCAGTTCCGTGTTACGAGACATCGTTTTGCGAACGAATTCCACATTATCAAACTCCTCCGACCCAAATTCGTTTGCATATTTGATACGGAGCCGGCTCAATTCGAAAACAAGCGCCATCTCTTCTTGATTGCCGACAATTCGCGAGACGCCGGTCGAGGCCTTCAGTCGATTGTGAATCGCTTGAAAGTTAGTGAACATTGCATTTTTGATGTTTTCGGTGTGCTCTCTGTGCACCCAGCGAATCATTGACAGCGAGCCTAACTTGCCAACAGATGGCCCGAGCTCTAAGAGTTTGTCGACAAGAACGAGACTTTCTTCGAGACTTCCAGAGTTTCTAATTGTCATCATTGCATTAGAACCAAGCAAAACCTCATGACTAAAATCATTCTTCGAGTCCCATTCGATAATTTGACAATCACGAAACTGCTGTTTTTTGAGTAGGGTAAACATCGTTTCTTTATACTGAGCGGCTTCCGATGGCAGCCATTCGAGCTGGAATGTCGCCTTGCTCTCGACTATTTTCGAGAAATTTTCCAACAATAACTTGAGGAAATCGAGTAGATTCGTTTGAATTTTCAACCGTTTTACTCTTGTCAAAAGCGGTAGAAAATCTTGACGTTGAAAAGTTGTTTGAAGAAATTTCAGCGTCGATGCAGATTGAGACATGAACTGGTGATAGATCATCTCAAGTGAAAGAGACTTGCACGTTTCAATGTTGTTTAACATGCTCCAAGCTGTCTCTTTATCGATTTTGTGTTTTAAAACTCGAGCACTTTTTTCCCCAATTTGCCACTCTGAAATGCTAGCATTCTTTTCTGTAATCGTGAAAATTCTATCAACGTCTTGAAGTCGGATTTCAAAAGATAGAGTCAATAGTTCAGTGGTCGACAAACGAATGATGATGTCACCAACGTCTTTCGGGATCAGACTCAAGAGTTCTTTTGAAAGTTGTTCTCTTCTATTAACTTCTTCGCTATTTACTTCTTTAACGGGTTCTTTGACGTGTGGCAGCACTATTTCCCAATCCATTGACTTCTTTTCATGCTTTACAACAAAAGTTTCCTCAAGTGTCTCATTGCCAAGTGTTGTATTATAGACTTCTTGAGCGACCATTTGTCTTTCATGAAAAAAATCCGTGAAATGAAGATAACTCAAGACGGCTAATAGTAACAGAAGAAAGATAATAACAACAGAGCTGATTACGAGAATTGCAAACGTTTTCTGTCCTCTTCTCTTGGCTGTGCTCGGCATCTCTTGTTCATGCTCTGATTGGGCCGCTCTGACAGGCTCGATCAACACTTGTTCCTCGACATTGGTCCTAATCTGTGAGCTTTCTTGTCGTTTGGGTAATAACTTTTTCTGGATCATCCGGCTCGACGAGTTCGACTGTCCAGTCCGGAGCCTCAAAACCAATTGGTGGCAAAACTTCGAAATCGTTCTCGTCCTCGTTTTCTTTCGGCATGAATTCCAAGTTTTCAGGAGTTCTCTGAAAAATTTCCTGGTGTTTTCCTGTTATTGGAGAGAAGACTAGAAGAATATTAACGGGCGGAGGGGGAAGATTTTTGTACCAAGATTGGGGGGGGAGGCACCGGTTTAGGCAGGTGCAGGGGGTATTAGGGGTGCACATACACTAGGAGATCTCAACTCTAGTATGCACCGCCTGTTAAATGCGCCGCATCCCCCCTGAGCCTGCCTAAATTGCCATACAAATTAGTGCTTTTGTGTTATTTGGGGAGGGGGTGTCAATGGTAAAATAGATGCTTTATGGTTACAGAAAAGGCGCCTCTGAAATTCCTGTTACAGCCCGCATATTTCAGAGTCGCATTTGCGCCGCCTGCTAGAAGCCTAAAGGTAGAGGGATTTGTGGGCGTGTGGAGCTTTTCTATGTTGCCCTAACGGGCAACATCGAATGGTGCCACCTACAAAGATAACCCTCTACCTAGAGGCTTTAGCGACCGTTGCTCCCGGGGTGCTGCAGTCAGGTCACATGGGCGGAGCGCATCAGAGGTGCAGAGCCAAAGCCTAGTAACATTTATGCGCCTAAGTATTATAAAACCCAGTGGAAAATGCAGATTCCACCGCAGTGAATCTTTTTCTGAGATTTCCCCCCAGATAACACAAAAGTACCTATCAATTTGCTATCATAGGATTCCCATATCGAACCCTACCTTTTTAATGTCTTTTAACACACGCAGGACCTCATCTGCTTTTGGCCTTTGTTTTCGATTGAAGTTTGTGCATCTGTAAAACCGAACTACACACAGATACAAACGAATTTTTCGAATTAATAACAAGTAAAGTTAATAGTAAACAGTATGCCGACCTTTCGACAATTGTTTGAATGGATGATTGACAGGTTGGCGGCTCCAACTTTTGCAACTTTTTCCGATAAATATCATAAAGGAAGGTCTCTCGGTCGAAATCTCTGTGTCCATATTCGGAAAAGACGATCCTGAAACTCGACTTTTAGAAATCGCATATTAGCAACTAACTTTCTTTCGATGATTTCCCACAACACGAGACCAAGGCTATACACATCGTTTCTGTGTGAAGCCTAAATTTTTGCCGTTTTACAATTGATTTCATCCAATAGGGCGATAGGTATTTTCCTTTGAGCCACGCGTTATATTTTGCTTCCTAACAATACGCTTAGGCAATCCAGAAAAAAACAATGTTTATATGAGAATTACTTGCATGGTAAACTGACTTGCTGTAGATCTGGAGGCCTTTCCGTTTCCCCGGCTATCCCCTCCTCAACGTGTCGTGGACTCATGTAGCGGAGAGTTCCGGCAAAAGTCGCCGAATTCACCGTATTGATGGCTAGCTTGATCAAGCCGAAATCGCCAATCTTAAGCATATAGTATTCGGTGACAAAGATGCTAAAATTGGGAGTTCTGCTTTTTGGAGACTTGAAAAAGTGACTTGTCTGGTTTGATGTCTCGATGAACGACGTTGTACTCGAAAAACATGACTCTGAGAGCGTCAAATAGTTGAACAGCCCATACAATGACTGTTTTCATCGAATAGACAATACTTGAATCGTTTATAACTAAAGAATAGCTTTTTGATAAAAAAGAGTTCTTACTTATAAAAGGGCGGGGGGTGGTGGTGTAATTAGCGGAGAGGGGAAAGGAGAGCGCCCCACTTATCACAGGAGGTGCACGCATACGCATAGAGTTGGACCTACAGGTTTGAGCCTACAGGTGTCTCAAAGCTATCCGGACAACTTGAACTGGAACTGAACGGACAACTGGAAAAGTTCCTCCTAACTACGTAGTTTCTTAATCCCCTCTAATCTTGATAAAAAGTTTTATTTTTTTCTGATTCTGCAAGTCAAGCAACCTATAAGTAAAAAAAAGCTCGATTGGACAATCCTTGACTATGCAGTTAGCGACCTACTAGGTACCATTTACCTAAAAAATTTTAATATTACAGTGCTAGAGAAGAAAACTAAGTAAAAAAAGCGACAAAGACAGAAAAATCTAATGGTCCAGGTGATGTGATACGGTCATTTACCTGTCTTTTTGAGTTAAAATTGTTGCGTCGGCAATCAAGAACAAATCGTTAGTTTTTCTACATTGTTTGACATGCAAAATCATAAAAAGAACAAAGCTTTTCATCAAGATTCAAGAGGATTAGGAAACTACTTAGTTAGGGGTGGTCCAGATGATGTGATACGGACGATATCTGCACCTCCTACTCGAACATTCACTCCTTTCTTTTCTTCTTTAGTTGTTTCTTTGCCTTATACATACCCACTTTTCTCGAGGGGTCCCCGTCGACAGTACTCCATTACTATTCCAAACTCGTTCCTGCTTTCGTTCTCTTCGATCCGAATCAAGAAAATAATATTTGGATGTAGGAGTTTCTTTAAAATATTGCACTCGCGATAATAAATCAAAAGCCCATTTTTGTTTGGACGGCGCAGACATTTGATCACAGCTGGTCTGAAAATGATATCGTCAGAAAAGCAGACAGGGAAAACAAATGTTGATACTTGTTTATTCGGCGAAACAAACTTTATCTCATCAAACAAATAAAAACCACTAGATGTTCTAAATAACTTACACATGAAAAAAGCTTGCATTTAAACTAAAACCTATCCACTTTCCCTAGAAACAATTTAAAGGTTAAATGTCAATTATCAAAAGCGATGTTTCAAGTATCTGAAGTTAAATTGTAACTTAAAAGCGGAGCCAAATAAAAGTAGCTCAAGAATAAGATTATTTTGGCCTAAAAATTGGCTTGGTTTACAATAAAACGGACGCTAAAACAATGCTTGTTAGAGCTTGGCAATTTTCTCTTCCAGGTCTGGCTCTGGCCTAGCTTGGGAATTTCCTGTTCCAGGCCTGGGCTATGCTAGAGCCAGCCAGGCCATGCTAGAGCCAGCCAGGCCATGCTAGAGCCAGCCAGGCCATGCTAGAGCCAGCCAGGCCATGCTAGAGCCAGCCAGGCTATGCTAGAGCCAGCCAGGCTATGCTAGAGCCAGCCAGGCTATGCTAGAGCCAGCCAGGCTATGCTAGAGCCAGCCAGGCTATGCTAGAGCCAGCCAGGCTATGCTAGAGCCAGCCAGGCTATGCTAGAGCCAGCCAGGCTAAGCTAGAGCCAGCCAGGCTAAGCTAGAGCCAGGTCCAGAAGCTTATGAAAATTATGGCGTAATCAAAAAACTTTTCATCTAATAAACATATAGCAATAAGTTACTAAAAACCTTTGAGTTTAAGCTAGTAAAAACCTTTAAGTCAAAAGTAACGCGTTTAGAACTCTTGTTAAACTCACGGATTATGACCGATAAGTTCATAAACATCTCCATAACCACCGCTGCCGAGCAATCGTTTTGTGCAGTCAATCATGTAAATTTGTCACAAAGTTGAAAGACTTTAAGAACAATAGTAGCTAATACTTTAACATTGCAAAAGTAATTTCGTAGAGGTTTTGCAAAACAGAAAATCGATTTCAACTTATTTACTCACTCGTGAAACGACTCTTCTTATCAGATTAAAATGCCCGCTCGGTTCTGCTTTGGGTTTTGACCGTTTTTCTCTAAAACTCCGGAGTTTTCATTTGTTTTCATTTGAGACATTTGTGCACTAGCAGATATATAGTTTTTTATTTGTGCCAAAACCAAAGCCGAAGTGTTAAATCTCGGCTAAAAAAGGCTATCCGTTTTTAGTTAGTTTAATTCAACTGAATTCCATACAGGGTGGCGCAAAATTACCCGTGCACTTAAAAATGTAGATTTCTTTAACAAGTTTAAAGCAAAAGATTTAAAAATCATATAGAACTTTATTTAACCAACAATCACCAAAAATTAACAATCAAACTTCAAAGATTCCACCCTGATTCATACATAACTTAGTCGCTTCATGAACGCATCACAGGTGACCCGCAGGTAGTCGTCATCCAAATTGTCCCAAGCCTTGCGAAGAGCTGACTTCAATGATCCAAGACTTTTGTGTGGGGTAGCACAAGCACTGGTCTTAAAAACTGACCACACAGAAAAATCCATTGGGTTGAGATCAGGTGGATTTGGAGCGATGGGCGATGAACTGAATCGAGTCGAAAAGCTCGCCTATTATTTGAATTCGATTCATCCGGGTTTTTAGAGATTGACTGTATAAAGTTTTTTTTAAATACTGTTATAAAACGTCTCATCGATTGATGACAATAGTAATCCCATGTAGTTGAGATTTAATAAGCTAAAACTAAACTATTCAAGCACTTTTTCCCGAAGAATTAAAATTCCAAAGTTGCTCATGGCTGAATTTTTGCAATTAAAGTTCAAAAAAAGTTATCGAATTCACTCAGACTTGTCCCTAGGGAGTATAGTTCTATCCTTTCTTCTTACTTTTGCTCAAATGTTGTGTTCTTTTCGTTAAATTTTGTAGTTATGACTTTCCTATAGTTTTTGTTCACTTTAGTATACATGCATACATTGAACTTTACCATACATTGAAATTTGAAAATAAGAAAAAGAAATCGAATATTGTCAATAAAAAGTTGGAATGTTTTTTATAGTAATAATTGTTTTATAATGTGACTGAACTGATTCTGCAAACGTGCATATATTGACAGTATTAATTAGAAAACGCTTTTCGAAACGTTTACGGCAATTTTCGGAATTCCTCGGAGCATTCTTTTGATTTCATCGTGTCGCAAAGAAACGAGTAGCATGTTGACAACACCTCAAAACAGCGAGTATTCATATAGTAAACCTTTGAACTATGAAATGAAGCAATCAGCATAAAAGCAACTTTTTTTATAGTAATACTTGTATTATAATATGTTACTGAAGCATAAAAGAGAATTGCAACAACAGGGAAATCAGAAATTATCTACGAAATACCTTCCGAGCCCACCTTTACTCCCGG